TATAACACTGCAAAGTGCTTGGATCAGAAGTCCTGAATCACAGGAGAGCTCCAGGATAATGCTACTCACGTGCAGAAAATTGATCCCAGATTATTTACTGTTTCCAGCACCTCCTTTCTCCCCATCTCTCATCGCGGGCCTGTCTCCGGTTCCCAGGTTCCTATCATTTCTCAGACGGAGTGTCTCTGGATCAGAGCCCGGACTGGGCCAGCAGAGGCAGTGTGCTGGTCTCAGAGGCCTGGTGTACAGGGGTGATGGGGAGAGGCTTCGAACTTTCCCTTGTGTGTGGCCGACAGCCTGGCCCACCGCATGCAGTCCTCCCCGGGTCCAGGTCTGACCTCTCCAAACCCGAGAACACACAAGAACAACCTGCATTTGTCACAGTTGGTCCATTCGGATTGGGTCGTGCTCAGGCATCTTGCCAAGGGCTGGCTTAGGAGAAAGTGGCAGGTTTGTAGAATTTCTACAGGGCCCTATCAAGGCCTTCCCCAGCTGTAAACATCCATGTGCTCACTCATCAAACATCAAGTGGCAAAAACCACAGTGGGCTCTGAAGCCAGGCTTTGAATCCCGGCCCTGCCATTTTAATAGGTGTGATCTTGGGCCCAATGTTTCACCTGTTTTCCTACCTGTAAAATGGAACAATATCCACACCAGCCTCAGAGTATTGTATGATTTTAAAAAGCTGATACATAGGATGTCTGGCTGTTATTTTTTAACGTATCAAGCACCTTCCACGCTCCAGACACGGTCAAGGCCAAGGATAAGCAAACTTTCTAGAAGACCCAAATAATAAATAGCTTCAGCTTTGTGGGTCTTAACGTCTCTGTCCAACTATTCAACTCTCTTGTTAGAGCCCCAAAGCAGCCACAGACAGCAAACAAATGAATGAGAGTGGCCGTGTTCCAAGAAAACCTTATTTATGGGCACAGGAATTGGAATTTCGTAAAAATTCACATGTCACCAAAAATCCTTTTTCTTCTGATTTTTTGAATTATTAAAAAAACGTAAAAACTACTCTTAGCTCACAAGCTAGATTTGGCTCACGGACCACAGTTGGCCTGCCCCCCACCCCACCATGTGCTAGAGATGAAGGTACGGACCTGAGCCCCGTCCCCTCCTCCCCTCCCCCAGGAGAACATGGTGCTAACAGAGGCTCCCAGAGCCTGGGAAGTGGGGAGGGGGGGTGCTCCTTCACCTTGCTCATGCTATCTTGCCGCCCCCAAGATCTGTGACCATGTCTTAAAAGCCATTCTTGCAACCTGGGGCAGGGTGGGCAGTGGCATCTCAGTTCCAAGCCCCCGCATTTCAAGCTCTCATTCCTTGGGGCTAAGTCTCAGAGACTGCAGAGACCCAGGGCACAGGCTGAACAGCAGTTGGCGAGCCCACGATCCAGCGGTCCAGTGTCTGACCTGGCCTTGGAGTGGAATGCCCAGACCCCGTGGGCAGGAAGCCTTGCTGAGCATAGGATTGGGTTTGTAGCTACACAAACATTTGTTTCTTTCTGAGGGGAAAAGCCACAGCAGAGAGGTCTGACAGGGGAGGGGTTCCTGGACCAAGAGCAATCCCCATCTGGATGTGTGCAGCAGCCTCTCTGGAAAGTGCTACTGGCCATCAAGTTTCTGCTGGGGAAAGGGCCTCCACTAGCCCAGGCCCTCTGGACCTCACACTCAGTTGTTTGTTTTTTTCTTTTTTTTTTTTTTTAATTTTTTCCTTAATTTGACAGACAGAGATCACAAGTAGGCAGAGAGGCAGGCAGAGAGAGATGGGGAAACAGGCTCCCCGCTGACCAGAGAGCCAGATGCAGGACTCGATCCCAGGACCCTGAGATCATGACCTGAGCCAAAGGCAGAGGCTTAAACCACTGAGCCACCAAGGTGCCCCACTGTGCTTTGTTTTGTTTTTAATTTTATTTATTTATTTGACAGAGTGAGCACAAGCAAGGGGAGGGGCAGAAAGAGAGAGAAGCAGGCTCCCCACTGGACAGGGAGCCCGATGCAGGACTCCATCCCACATGACCTGAGTTGAAGGCAGACGCTTAACTGACTGAGCCACCCAGGTGTCCCCAGCAGCTGAGTTCTAAGTGGGCCAGGGGGGCCATCTGGGTGGGAGTTGGCCTCCACCAAATCCTGACTGTTGCCTGAGGCAGAAGCCTTCCAGGAAGGCCCCAGAAGTCCACAGGTGGCAGGACCTGCCTGCTGTTTCCATGAGCTTCAAGAATCCGGGCTCCCCACCCAAAGCCCCCAAGGTGTGGCCAAAGGTTAATGGGCTCCCAAGGGCGGGCCAGAGGGCCCATCAGACCAGCAAGATGCCAGATATAAAGACCGGTCAGATCAGCCAGTTACCAGAGGACAAACAGACACAGACTCTGCCAGTCCCATTCACACCACGCTGATGTGAGTAGCCATGGTTGGGGGGGTGTGGGGAGAGTTCAGCATGAGCCCCCGGGGCAGAACAGTGGTGCGAGCAGAGCCAGCCTGGTCCAGAGATCTCCCCTGTGTCTCTCCTGACACCTTCCAATACTTCACTAGGCTTTGGACTGCAAGCCCCGGAGCCGATTTCCAGAGTAGCAGGTTAAAGCCACCCGTCGTGTGTGTTAAAGCAGGACTGCCCCGGAGCAGGGAAGCTGGAGGGAGGAGTGGGTGGGTGCCATTCCTGGCAAAAGAGAGGCTGTGTGGGTGCATGGTGCTGTTGACTACAACTACAGGCCAGGAACCCAAACCAGAGCTCAGTGTGGATGCAGGACCCCCACATGGCATGGAGGCTTCACTCTGGAAAGATAAAGGTGAAGCGGGTCCCTAGGGAGATTGAGTGACGAGGCCAGACTCGCCAGAGCCGGGGCTCCTATGGGAGGGCAGGGACCAGACAGGCACCCCCTCCTCCAGCCTGATCGCTTAAAGACTGGAGCCCCATCCTGGGAGATGGAAAAGGGAAGTCAGTGTCTCATCATACAGTGAAAAACTCTCCCACTCTGAGCTCCCGGGAACGCAAATGAATGTAGGTGACATGCCAACTGCCAGTTGGATCAAGAAAATGAGCAGCAATTGGATTTTGCCTTTTTTTATTTAAGGTTTTTATTTATTCTTATGGAGGGAATTAAATGTGAACACCAGAATGAAAAGGGCTCTGTAGCATCTCTGTGAAGGAAATGGGACGCCATCGATGTGACGCATCATCTCCACCGTGGGAGGGGAGTCAGGGCCCTCCAGCCTCCAAAGGGAGAGGATAGGAAGAAGAGTGATTGGGAGCCCTCCATCCCTGCCCAGACTCTGTACTGCTCCAGGTCCTCCTGGGGTCCCAGACCAGATCTCAGCTGTCCTCACAGATGGGGAAGGCAGTCGGTTGGTGGGTGGTCTTCTGACCCTGAATTTGCATGTAGCTGGCATGGGAGGCTTTGATTGCCTGAGCTCTCATGTTCTTTCTCATGGAGTGTTAGCCAGATGGAGAGAGAAAGTAGGACGGGGACAGGAGGCTTCAAAGAAGGCAGAGGGAGTGTCCCGCTTAGTAGAGGTGGCTTCAGATGACTGAGGAGAAGGGTCCTGGACTCGGGGAGGCAGGACACAAGTCCGCATTCTTGGATGATTCTCTTCAAAGGGGTAATGGGGGTTGGAACTGCAGGGAAGCTTGGAGACCAGTCCAGGGCTGGACCCTTTCCTGCCAACAGAATCCAGGCTGTCCAAGGGCTGTGAGAGCCCCAAGCTGACTCCCTGAAACTCTTTATCTGCAACCCTATAATGCTCCCAACTCTGCCTGCTGTGGAGGCTGCCCGTGGTCTCTCCTCCTTGCTCTGGGGCCTGGCCCTTGCACTCATCAGCCCACTCAGCGCAGGAATGTTGGGGCCTGGATTGCATTCAGCAGGCTGCCCCCTGCGATGCCCTTCTCCACTTTCTGTGAGCAGAGGCAACGTGGAGTGTCATGCAGGGCCAAGCAGCAGGCCCCAGGAAGCCAGCCTTCCAACCTCCACCACCTCTGAATAAGTCTCCTCACCTGTCTAGGTCCCCTCCCCTCCCCAGATAGCACCTGCTCCCAGGTGAGTGTGCGGATTGTGTGGGAGAGGGCTTGGAAGGGGGCACTGTGCACCAGCGTAAGGAGTCAACTGAGACTGGCACCCAGCAGGCAGCACCCTACCCCACCCCCACCATAGGACCATCCGGACCCAGCCCGGAGTCTGCCTAGCTGACCCCATTTCTCAAGCCTTTGTTCTCCTGGGGTCACCACACCTACCTGTTTCCTGGCAGGTGTCTGTGGCCCACCTTCTGGCCTACCAATCCAGACATACCCACTTCCTGGGACGCAAGAGGCCCCACATGTACAAACAGGCACCCCCAGCACTTGCAGCATTCTGAGGTGTTGGGAGGGGGTTGCCAGGAACAGAAGCACTCTGTGTTGTTTCTAGACAACCAACAGGCAGCTAGCTAGAGCTCTGGAAGAGTCTCGTTCCAGAGCCAGTGCTGGCCCCCGGAGGGGTGGAGACCCCACTTCAGCTCTAGGATGCTGTTCCCTGCTGAAATTTTCCATCTGGCTCTGCTTCCATCTAGGCAAAGTGTTACAGCCCTTCTCTCTCCAGACCCAGTGCCTCTGGCACTCTTCAGGGAAACCTGGGGTCATCTGGGCCTGGGTCTGTCCCTTTTGTCATCCTCATCAGCTCAGGGCACAGGGAGGGCTCAAGAGGGGAGCACAATTCTGTTGATTATCTAGTCTTTCTTCTGAGACATGGGTCCTTCCCACTTCATGAGCCCCACTGACCCTGGAGGACTGCAGCTGTGACAAAGAGGGGAGATGACACATGGATGACTGCTCCCCCAGCATGTGGCAGGGGCCGGGCCACCTCTGCCAGGCCTGGCTCTGTGACAGAGAAGGGGCTCTGAGCTCCTCCGGTCAAGCCCCACACCCGGCCCACATCAGGAGAGGCTAAGTGGCTTGCTCAAGGTCACAGCTGTAAGGAACGTGTGCACGGTAAGCCCCGTGACAAGAGTTTCTTGTCTCTGTCCAGCTCCAGGATGGTGTCCCGAAAGGCTGTGGCTGCTCTGCTTGTGGTGCATGTGGCTGCCATGCTGGCCTCCCAGACAGAAGCCTTCGTTCCCATCTTCACCCACAGCGAGCTCCAGAAGATCCGGGTAGGAAATCCCCCCCACACACACACACCTCAAGGCATGCCCGCCTCCCCTGTGTGGCCCAAGTGACGCAGAGCCCTGCTCAGCACTCAGGTGGCCTTAGTCTCTCTAAGGCACAAGTAAGTGTCCCTTTGGTAAACCCATGTTTAATCAGCTAAGCTAGCCCCACTGAGGACAGCACTAAGAACCCAGACCCAAGCTAGCCCCCAGCTACAGCTGTCTCCCTGCCACCTTCACTCCTCCCCAGCACCACACACAGGTGACTGCAGCTCCTACACACAACAACTTTTCCCGCCCCTGCCCATCCTTCAGAGGAGATTTTCCATTAACGAGCCAATCAGTATTTGCTGAGCATCTCCGTGGTATAAACGGCCACGCTGGGGGAGAGGCCAGGCACACAGGAGATCTAAGAGCCTCCGTCTTCAAGGAGCAGGCTCAGCGGCCAAGATACAAACACATGAAAAAGTCACTAACAATAGAGAACAAGAGAAATGTCACGAGGTAGGACGTGATTAATTGCCCAGCGAGTGACGCTGATGGTAAGTGCGAAGCTCGGAGCAGGGAGAGGTCTCCACAGAGAAGCCTACAGAGAAGAGGTGAGCATGGATCTGGGGGTCTTTAGAGAGAAGGAGGGGCACTCGGTTGGGGCAAATGCCCAGAGTGGGAAAGAAGAAGCTGCTGCTCCCTGAAGTGTCGGCCAGAGCCGCCTCTTGAGAACCCAGAAGTAAACCAGGCAGACTTAACAGAACTCAGGGGGCGGGTCCCCCGAAAAAGTGACCACTCGACCTGGCTCCCTGTGCCTTTTACTTTAGATGTCCAGGGGTTCTGAGTATCTTGTACAGACAATTGTTTCTCTCTGACCTGAGGAGGTGAAAAAATGGGACTTTCGTGTCCCACCTGTCTGAGACCAAGGCTCCACTAGGAACAAAGACAAGAATCCATTCTCTGGGAGGTTGCATGGCCTCTGCACCCACGTGCTCTGTCCGGGGCGGGCTGCCCCACACCCAGTGACCAGTGTCCTCTGCCAAGGCAAGGCTGGCTGCAGCCTCCCTTCTTCGTGGGGGTGGGGCATAGTCATGGAAATACGGAGGAGATGTGGCAGTCTCTCTAAACACACTTCCTCCACCACCAGCTTCCTCCCCAGAAGAGACAGCCCTTTGTTCTAGAATCACCATGTCTCAGGCAAGGCCCTGAGCCGAATCCCAAGGGTGCCATTAGGGAAACCAAAGGAATGAGTTGTGTCTGATCTCAGTGCCCTGGGACCCAGCAAGCAGGATGCCACGTAAGATTTGGGGCAGAAACAGTCAAACTCAGTAGAACATAAACTAGCAAAATGGCAACCAAAGGACACTTTGCATTAATCCGCTCTATGGTTTTGCTCCTTATAATTGCCAGGCACCAGGATTTTTATGAAGAAGCTGCAATCTCCTTCCTCCATAATTCATCTCCCTGTCTCGCCTCTTATAAATCACCTCCCAGGGACTCCAGTTTCTGGGCCACCCCATGGTGCCCTCGCAGGCTGAGCTGTCTTGCCACCTTTTTTATAGGCTCTCTGCTAAGAAAAACCCATTTTCACGCTTAATATGCATGAAGGGCAGCCATTATTTTCAGCATTTTAACTTAATTAACGGTAACAACCTGGGTGCAGTGCTGGAACGAGAAAGGAAGGGATTCTTCTGCAAGTTGACCTGTTGGTGGACAACTCGGAGAGGCTTCTGTGGCCATCGCATTGCTGGGACTTGCCGTAGAGGTGCCTGGGGAGAAGGAATGCTTCCGTCCCTGTGGGAAGCTCAGGCCACTTAGCACCCTGGACAGAGACAGGCAGGTGCCGTCTGGGCAGTGGACAGACCCCGGTTTTGGGTTTTGTGCGATTTTGTGCTCTGCCCTTAGGAAAAGGAGCGCAACAAAGGTCAGAAGAAGTCCCTGGTTTTACAAAAGAGGTCTGAGGAAGTGGGGCCTCTGGACCTTGTGGAGCCCACAGAAGAAGAAGAAAATCAGGTTATCAAGGTGAGCAGAAAGGGCGACAATACAGAGAAACCTAGTGGGTGCGGGCAGGGAATGGCTCCCCTGCTAACCACCGATTGTGCTAGGATACAGCAGCGAACCAGACATTTAGGCAACCAGCTCCCTTCTAGGAGAAAGGGAGACAGACACCAACGAGGAGACAGTAAACCATTTCAGGCACCAAATAAAAGGAGGCAGGATAGAGAATGACAGGGTGGGGCTTGGGGGCACTCCTTCGCCAGAGGAGGGCTCAGGGAAGGCCTCTTGGAGGCGGTGACATTTATTTTCTTTGAAACCAGAATGATAAGAAGGAGCCTCTCATGCAAAGTGCTAGAGTGAGAACATTTCAGAAGGAAAAGTGCAAAAACCTTGCTCAGGAAGCACATAGTAGGTGTGAGGTCCTCAAGGCCAGGGCACACCGGGAGAGGAAAAGAGGTTGGCAGGGCCTGGTGGTCCAGGCGAGATGTCTAGGTCACTGGGGGTTCAAAGCAGGGTAGTGACCTGATCTGACTTAGGAAGATCTGGGGCAGCACAAGTGGAGGCAGGAGACCATTCAGGAGGCAGGTGTGGTCCTCAGGGGACAGATGACAAGGGTGCCGGTTCTTCCCCTAGCAAGGAACCTTGGGGACAGCTACAGTGTGAACCCCCCTGGGTCAGTGCTGAGTTTGGATGCACAGACTGTCATGGCCAGAGCCAGCCTTGGGTTTGTCCAGCGCAGCTCTTTAATTTCACAGACTCCTTTGTCCAGGCAGTAAGTATTTACCGAGCCCTAAGTGTGAAGCAGGGTTCTGGGCCCTGGGGATAGTGTGGTGAACAAAACAGATACATCCTCTGAGCTCGCAGAGCTCACACTCCAGTGGGGGGGCAAGAAATGAGATACCAAAAGGACCAACAATGGACTACAACCAGGATAAACAAACAACCTTCCTAGTGTGGCCTGTGGTGGCAGGTGCCATGGAGGAAAATAAAGCAGAGAGGGGAGATAGATGGGTTGCAATTTAAATAGGGCAGTCAGAGCAGGCTTCCTCCGTACATGGTATTAGTACACAGACCTGGAGACAGTGAGGCACTGAACCGCTAAAATGTCTGGGGGAAGAGCATTCCAAGCAGCACAAGTAATCAGTGCAAAGGCCCTGAGGCAGGAGTAGACCTGGCGCATTGTGGGAACAGGGAGGAAGCTGGAGTGGCTGGGGCAGAGGGAGTCAAAGAGAAAGTGGGAGGTGAAAGCAGACTCTGCAGTTTGGACTCTGCTTTCACTCTGCTGAGATGGGAGCCACTAGGGGCTTTGGAGTGAGCAGGGAGAAGATCAGATTACATTTTAAAAGCGTCTCCCCAGGGGAACCTGGGTGGCTTAGTCTGTTAAGCGTCTGACTCTTGATCTCAGCTCAGGTCTTGATCTCAGGGTAGTGAGTTCAAGCCCCGTGTTCGGGCCAGAGGACCTAGAAGGATGGGTTCATGACTCATGGAGACGGTGAAGCCTATGGTTAGCTGTAGGATGGCAGGAGGAAGGTAAGGAGGTCAGACAGGACCTGTGAACTTTAAGATGCCTGGTGGGTGCCCAGGTGGAGGCGTTGCGCAGGCAGGCCGATATAGATGACTGGACTTCAGGAGCGCTTAGGGCTGGAGACATCCCTGTGGGAGGCATCAGCAATTAGCTGGAATTTCAAGCCAGGACTGGGTGAGATCCTGGAGAGGGTAGGTGTGGATGGAGAATGAAGGGGGTCCTGGGTCTGAGCGAGGGACACTTCCCTGTACAGGGGCTTGGGAGGCAAGATGACTGATAGTAGAGAGAGTGAGGGCCTTGCCAGGGTGACACAGTCATCAGAGCAAAACTGAGCTGGACTCCAGGCCTCCTGCCTTCTGCCAGACACCAGCCAGGGATCCTTCTACCCCCTCGGGTGGCCATAGCACACTGTCCACAAACAGGGAGGTCAGTTGTGGCCCAGAGAGGGACTTCGGTGCAGTCATCACACTGGGTGGCAGGGTTAGGGGAGTGTGCCTTCCCTTCCCACATGCTCCTTGGGCTCCCTGGGAGGAATTGGGAGGGACTGGTCTAGCTGGCAAAGGGGAGCTCACTCGGAACTGCCCGCTACCTGCACCCTGGGCAGTGGTAAGGCACGTGTTACATCCTAAAGAATGTCTTGGGGAGGCTGTTCCGTCTCCCTAGAACACGATATATGGGTCAGGAGGTCCTTTCCAGATCATTCCATCCAGCCGCCTCATTTTAAGGTGAGGACGCTGATGCATAGAGAAAAGCATAGCTCAGCAAGAGGATGGCATGGGCAGGGCCGGAGACCCTCTGCGTGGCCCTTCAGGCAGCCCCAGCCCGTTTCCCACTGCCAGGGAGCCCCTGGGACTCCTCCATCACAGCTCTCCAGACAGGCAGGGAAGCTCAGCTGGCCTGTGAACCAAGACCACTGAACCAGGAAGCTCTGGGGGTGGTGGCAAGATTAGTCAGGCCCCCACCCCTCACCCCCCAGCTCGGCACAACAACTTCTCCTGGTGGTGAGCCTCCAGACAGCTCCTTTGGGGTCTCACCTGTGTCCCCATGGTCCAGAGAAAGTCTCGCCTGGTGGCGCAGACCCTGGAGTCAGACCCCCTGGGTGTCACACCCTCTCCCTCCACGACTTAGTACCTGTGTGGCTTTGATCAAGTTACTCTACCTCTTTGCCCTCACAGAGGTTCCTCATCTGTGAAATGGGCGCACCACTAGTCATGTCTACCTCTAGGGCTATTGAGAGGCTTCATACACGCAAAGCGTTTGGAGTGACGCCTGTGCTGCAAGGCTCCAGGTGCCAGCTCTCCTTATACAGGAGAAGAGGGATGGAGAGTTTCCCCCCACAGGAAGAGCCAGGGGGGTTCCTGCGGACCCCTCCCCTCCTGTCCCAGCTTCCCAGCCAGGGGAGATTTGTTGATCCTCCTCCCAGCAAGACTGGGGTGACTTCCAGGATCCAGCCCCCTGGTTGGAGTTTGGGGCGGGGGGCGGTTCCTGCCAGAATTCTCTGGCTGGCCCTGGAAGGCCAGAGGCTTCCCCGGAGGATGGATCAGGAAAAGTGGGGCCGCCGCAGAGCCGTGTGGCTACTGGCCGTCCCTCCTGCCACCTGTGAGGCACCCGGGGGGTTAATGGTACTCTCCGTGTCTCTTCCTTCTTGTTAACTCTGCCTTATTTCACAGCTGACTGCTCCTGTGGAAATTGGAATGAAGATGAACTCCAGGCAGCTGGAAAAGTACTGGGCTGCCCTGGAAGAGTTGCTGGGTGAGGCGCTGCTGTCCACCCAGAACGGTAAGGGAAGGCGGGAGCCTCTGCGGCTGGGCCTGGCCTCATCCACCCCGTGTTAATATTCCAGGAGCGCGTCTGAGCGCGATCTGGGGACAGCGATTTGTTTTGCTGCCTTGCACTTGAGAACAGGAAGCTGCCTTCTTGGGGGAAAGGGTGCCCCTGTCTCTGAGGGGAGCCTCATCACAGAACAGGGCAGGCTCTGAGAGCTCCTGGGGACCACTGAGGCCCAATCCCCAGCCAGGGGCATCTCAAGGCTCTGCCCCATGGCTCAGGCCCCTTTCCCAAATCCCCTCCTGGCAGAGTAGACCACGACCACACACCCACCCCTCCCCCTGCTCCAGATACGTTCATTCCCTCCCCCAAAACACCACCAGCGCTGGGGGCTTCCTCTGAAGGGAACTCTGGAACAGTCTGGCCCCCAAAGCCTGCATTTTTTTTTTTTTTAATCTGTTCTACAAATCGAAGTGCTGAGCTGCACTTGGCCTTGCCCCGTTCAAGGTCTGCCAGAGTAACTTATGCGAAGCTAGGACTTACCTGACAAACCGCTACTAATGACTTCTCATCCTCCCCAGGAGAGGAGAGAGGCGGGGAGGAAGCATTGGAGTGGGAAGAACCAGAGGTTAAAGGACTTGCCCCAGGGTACAGAGAAAGCTAGAGGCTGAGCTGCCAGATACCTGGCCAGTCCGCCCTGCACCCTTTAGAAGTCAGTTTCATAAGTGGAACTGCGAATGTTCCTGAGCACAAACCCTGCTTTTCCCCAGCAGACAAGTGACAGCCCGCTCTGGGGAGAAGAAGGTGGAGCCCTCCTCCCACCCAAAGGAGGCCCCAAAATCTGCATGCCCAACAGCGGGGCTCCGAAGGAAAATGCTCTCTCCCAGGCAAGCCCCCCATCTGGCAAATAAAGTGGGAAATACACAGAAATGACTCTTTTATTTAATATTTGAATTTTGAAAGGTTAAACTCAGGTCATTCCATATAGGGGGTGGGGGGATAAAGTTTGGAGTGGGCCATAAGTGGTGGTACAGGAGCAAAACGTGTGCCTTTGATAAATTCTACGTTCAAATATGAAGTCAGACCCACGGAACTGGAAGATCTGTGCCGCTGAGAAAAGATGGCATTTTCTGCCCACACACACCAGCCAGCGGCAGAGCAAGGACCAGAATTCAGGTCTCCTGAACCCTTGTTGGTCTACTTTCTGTGTACGGGCAAGCTCGAGGTCTAATGGGCCAGAGAGTTGTGAGACTTCTGCACTCAATCCCTTGCTATGTAACTTCCAGCTAGCCCTCTAACCTCAATGAGCCTTTGCAAATGCAAGGTGGTAATATGTGCCTTGAGATCAGGGGACAGGCACCAGCAAATCACTATTATTACTATCATCTTGTGACTCTACGCTCAGCATCCACAGCAAAATTCCACCGTCAACACATTTATTTCTGCCTTCTAAACAAAATTGGATGGGAAATATCATTCTGATTTCATTTTGCATTAATGAATGTTCATTTATTTATAAACCAGGGCTGTATAGGAACCACAGCTCCCGCTATCCATAGGTTACCAGCAATCAGACATGCTGCCCCTTCGGCATTTCCACCCACCACAGTCATCGTGGGAGCTTAGCCACAGTTGGTAGTTAGCGGAACCAGACAACCCCAACCCTTAGAATAGACACTCCTTTGGTGGGCTCTGACTGCTTCTGAGGGACACCTGAACCTTCCAGGGGACCCAGACCCTTTACACCACCCAGTCCCACAATTTCCCACGCATGTACTGATCAGCCCAAGTGCAGCTGCAGGTTCATGGAAAATGCTGCCAAGACACCCTGTAATAAATGGGGAGAGGGCTGCACAGGGCAGGGGAGGAAAAGGAGGAAGAAAGGCAGGGAAATCTACAAAGCCTGCCCTTGGGAAGTACTGGATCCAAGACCCCTCCTGGCCCTTCGGAGCTCCACCGTGCCATTCACATCATTCCACGGAAGCCACTCCAAAAAGCAGACCAAATGCTAACTGTCTCTTTCCAAGGCAGAAAACACAGCTTTTGTGTCTTTTCCTCTCTGCTCAGATCTGTTGCTATATGAGACTACCTTCCCCATCACCAGATGGGGGCGCTCACCACGCCCACTCCCCCTGCGCCAGCCTCCCAGCCCCCACGCCCCCACGCCCACCGCCCCGCGTGGGGGGAATTTTCCTTAAGATCCTGGGGTTGGAGAGCAGCACTGAAATAGGTGACAAGAAGGAAACGAGAGCTCTAGGTGACTGCGCCAAAGGCGATCTGCCTTTCTGAAAACGGAATTGGTTCCGCAGCCACAGAACTTAGGTGGCCCGAGGGTGGGGTTCCTTCTGCAGACCAGCCCTGTTCAAAGCTCAGCGCGGCAGCCAGGTTCTCCCTGACCCTCACCCAGTGGCCTCTGATGTGCTTCTCAGTAATGAGCCGCAACAGGGACCCAGCCACCACCTCCATCTGTATGCACAGTGCCCCAGCCGCCTGGTTGGATGTGTCCGCTCCTTTCTTCTCTCCTTCTCCTCCTGCCGCTGTTCAATTTCTCACAATCGGTTCAAATAATTCTTTTTCTCCAACGAGTTCCCCCAGTTTCCAGGACAGCAGACTTGATTGCTTACTGGACATGCAGAGCCCTGGAAGAAATTAAAATGGGGGATGGGGAGGGAGGGATAGGGGAGGATAGTGTGAGCTGAGCCGAGACAAAAATGACCATATTTTCACAAAAGAGAAAAAGAGATCCGCTTTTGGTTAAAGCTCTCCACAGCCAGGAGCAGGGATGGGAAAGGGGAAAGTGCCCAGAGGAACCAGTCAGGAGAGGACTGCGATCTTCCTCACATCTTAACTGAGGTTCATCCCGTGAATTCTGCAAGAATCTCTCCAGAAAACTGGCAATTACAGAGAGTTACAGATTATCCCTCTTCGTCTGGAATGTACTTTACACTTAACAGGACCACGGGTAATTATAGGGCAACCTGAGCCTCGCTTCACAAGATGGAGATGATGAGGTATTTTCTCGGTAACCACATTGGTATGATTTTATAATTACTGAGCTACGTGGATTTGCCATGAAATTGAATAGTTAAAAGCAAAGAGTAATTGCCTGATATCTGTACTCTGTAATTTTGTATAATCTAATCATGGACAAAGCCCAAAAGAAAATGTTCTGAAAGCATTACATTTTCCTTCATACACAATTTGTTATTGACATGGGGAACGTATTCCATGCCGCTAAAGGAACTCTTACCACAGGTATCAAAGTGTGGCCAAAAGAACGAGAGTTTTGTTATATTTTCAGCCGATTGTGAAAAGCAGCCAACCGGACTGCCCATTATACCTGTTCTGGAGTTTCTCTGTGACTCTATTTGCCCCCTCACTGACCTGGAGGGATGAAAGGTAGCTCTCTTCTTCCCTGGGGGGCACTGAGATAAGGCAGCCAGAAGCTGGGCTGTGCTGGGACCATTCCAGCCAAGACCTGAGCCCAGAGGGCACCCACTTTGTCCCCCACTTTTCAATCACACTCTGCCAGCACCCCACCGTCCCACTGTGTGATACCACCCATGATGCGGTTCCAAGGAAGCCCAGAGAAATGCACAAGGCTGGCAAGGGGGTGGGTCAAGGGAGGCCATGGTTCCCCAGGGTCTCTAAGGACCTGATAAATGTGTGCAAAGCTCTTTGCAGGAGGAGAAGGCGAATGGAACCCACTAAAAGATTTATGGCTGTTGTTATTCTAAGGCTCTGCTGAGACAGAGAGAGGTCAGCAGGATGGCAGGCAGTGTGCCGGCCCTCTGGGAATCCAGAGCCTTCTCCTAGAGGCCCCTCACCTCTGATAAATGTGTGGATGTGGTTACTAAGTAGATTTTGGACACTGGAGCCTGCTTTTCCTCTTCTGCCTTTAATAAATCAGGAAGACCGCCCACAGCCTGAGCTGCTCACCTTAAAAAAAAAAAACAAAAACCACACACAAGAAAGTGAGGAGAAAGGGGGGCATGCAGGGCAGCCGCTGACTTTGCAATATTGCCCTTTGCTTTAAAATATGCGTTCCCATACTCGACCCAGGAGGCAAACTCTGAGAAAGCTCGCATGAGCCTCCAGGGCGGCTCCCAACACAAGGCAGTGGTGCTGGAAGAGGACGAGGGCTGAGCCCGAGGCGGGGAAGACGAGAGGGGCAGTGAAGAAAGTGTGGGGGTGCAGCAAGGAGCAGGTGAAGGCATCCTGGCAGACGATGTGGGTGGAGGGCATCGGAGGGGCTATCAATCCACGGAAGGGCCAGGACTGGAACAGACTGGAACCGGGCCTTTCCAGGGCAGGGTACACGGAAAGGCCCCAGACCTGAGAGGGACGATTGCCTTGTAAGGGTTTTTCTGATTGACTTCTCCATCCGACCGACCGTGAGGCTTCTTCCGAGGGCGGGGGGGGGGGGGGGGGGGGGGGGAGGCAGGCATTGCAGGGGAGCACTGATTGGCAAACACCCTGTGGCGGGGGCACATGAGCCCAAAGGCCCGTTGGACACAGCGAGATATCCAGCAACGTCTAGAAGCCCCACGGAGACAGAGGATGGACTGCGGGGGGGTGGGCAGAAAGCCACGCCTGCGGACATGATGCGTTCCAGGCTAGAGGGAAGACAACAGGCTTGGCGGGTGGGGGTCACTGGGCCCTAGGTGGGTACAGCAACAGCAGCAGCCCCAAACCCAAGCCCGGCTTGACAAAGCCCACACGGGGGACCACTGCTGGGGGCGGCGCCGGTTCAGGACATATTTTTAAATCGTCCTGGGATCCATTGTGATGAAACAGACCGTAACTCTGCAAAGTGCCAGAATGTTCACTTTGTTTAAGCGTCAGATTCAAGCCCTCTTAGAATACACGGGGCCAGTATTGATGCCGAAAGGCTCGTTCCTTATATATTGAACTGCACAGCTGCAAGGAGCTGCACAAATGTTACCAACTCATTTGTCATGCAAACAGTGCTTCAGAAAGAAATAAAATACTATTATGTGGTGTATGTGTTAGGCAATCACTATATCAAATTCATGGCAGTCCGTGCAAACACAGGCAGAGAAAAGGAAAACAACACTTGGTGAGAAAAATTGCACCACATGGGAACAGCTAAGTTGGGGGAGATGGGGAGGCTAACAATGGAAGCCCGACAGCAGAGGCTGTAATTTTCCCAGCAACTGCGGCCAGTGTAGGACTACCCCCGTGGGACAGCAAGTGGCAGTGGCAGAGATGCAAACCACTGGCGGAGGGGCCTTGCCCACGACCCAGGGAAGGAATAGGGACACACAAGGTGGGGGCTGGGTGATGGGTGGGGAAGGGGGGAACCTCATTGGAAGGTTAGCAGTGGCATGGTACCTGGGAGGCCAAGGGCAGCCACAAACGTCTGGGACAGGAAGCTGGAGAAGGATGTGGAAGGCTTACAAAGAGGGGAGGGAGACAAATAGGAGGCTATGAGCCATAGCTCCGTTTCCATTTGCCACCACTTCCCCATGCTTCCCTTAAGGGCCTCTCACTTCCTGTAATCAAATAGGATGCCCTATGGGAGGTTCTAAGACGGCCCTCCCCACCCCTGTGCTGCCCCTGCAGAGAGAGGGATTAAGTATAAACACTTAGGAGGCCTATCAGGCACTGTTTTGAACCCCTCATACAAATTACCTGTTCTAATCCTCATAGCTACCCTACCAACTTTACTGGCCAGCGGGCTATAAATGTTAATTGGATGTGATCACACATCTGAAAGTGGCGCAGGTGGGATTTGGGAGTCCCCAACCTAAACTCGCAAGTGACACAAGACTGTGTCTCGGGGGTCTTCCTCTACCCATCTCTCGTGAAAAATCCCACTACCCACACATACGGGCTCCTCCCAGAAGCCTGTACTGCCCACTCAAGCCCAAGGGCATTTGGGTCTTCTGCCTCCTTAAGGCCCGTGGCAATGGGCCTGGGGCAGGGGACCTGGGACAGGGCCTACATCCCCTCGGAGCTCCACCCCAGAGCGAACTCCTAGGGAAACACCACGGAGGCCTACCACCCTCGACCTGAAGTCGAACTGGGTCTCAGAACATTTCCGGCATCTAGCTCACGGCCAAACAAATCCCTTCCCCAAGCACAGACAGAGGCAAAGGATCCCATCTCCCCAGTCTCCACTGGCGCTTGTTTATCACCATTAAGCAATTCATCCACTATTTCACCTTTAGGCAATTCATCAACGCTTTACTGAATGCCTACCAAGGGCAAGGGACCGCGCATGGGGCGAAATATTCGGAAAGAAACCCCGATCGGTCTTCCGGAGAAGACGGACTGAGCAAGGAGGGGAAAGAAAAAAGGAAGAAGGAGGGGGGGGGGGGTGGAAATCCTCGGACCTCCCCAACATGGCGGCCTAAAAGGCCGACTCTGACCCCCTCATCATGGCCGGCAATCAAGGAGACGCGTACCTTCTCAACATGGCGGCCCAGACAGACCTTCCCATCATGGCGCGGGGCCCCGCCCGCTCCGCCGAGGCCGCGGCGGGAGCAGTTCCGGGTGCGGTGCGCGCTGGGGGCGGGTGGGGGGCGGCGTCCTGGCCATGGCCGGCCTGTCGGACCTGGAGCTGCGGCGGGAGCTGCAGGCCCTGGGCTTCCAGCCAGGACCCATCACCGACACCACCCGGGACGTCTACCGCAACAAGCTGCGCCGCCTGCGGGGCGAGGCCCGGCTGCGCGGCGAGGAGCGGCTGCGGGAGGAGGCCCGGCTGCGGGGCGAGGAGCGGCAGCGGGAGGAGGCCCGGCTGCGGGAGGAGGCGCCGCTACGAGCACGGCCCGCCGCGGCCTCCCTGCGAGCGGAGCCCTGGCTCTCTTCGTCGGTCTCGGGCTCGGCCTACGCGACCTCCGGGGCCTACGGCGATGTTGGGGCCTCCGCGGCTCCCTGGTCCGGGAGCCGCGGCCTCGCCTACCCCGCCCGCCCTGCGCCGCTCAGGCGCCGCACCTCGGTCCGGGGCAGCTCCGAGGAGGACGAGGACGCCCGGCCGCTCGACAGGGCCGCGCCGGGCCACGGAGTTCGTCGCTGGTGGGCCTCGACCCCGACCCCGACCCCAGCACGGCCGCCCTCAGCCCTCCTAGGCGCGGACCCGCGCCCGGACCCGCGCCCGGGCCCGCGGGCGGCGCGAACTGGCCCGGCGGGAGCGGCGCGGGCCCGGCCCGAAGCGGGGCGGCGGCTGGAGCGCTACCTGTCCCGGCTCCTGTTCTGGGCTAGCCTGGGGCTGCTGCTCGTCTTCCTGGGCATCCTCTGGGTGAAGATGGGCAAGCCCTCGGCTCCGCAGGAGGCGGAGGACAACAGTACGTCCCGGGCCGGCGCAGGGGAGGGCCCCGGGCGCGCGAGTGTCCACCAGAACCGCCACCCAGTCCTCCCAGCGCCAGACTGCACATTCCCGGGCTTTGTCGGATGCCTCTGGCTGTCTTCTTACCTCCAGACCCTGACTCTCCTTCCTCCCTCTGTGGGAGAAGAGGGCTGGAGTTCCCGCAGTAATTTCTGTCTTCACTCTCTGCTGTTCTCATTTTCTGCCTTAACCCTCCCTGCCAACCTCCCTTTCAACCACGTGCTGGAAGCAGTCTTCATTCCTAGTCACTTCCACCCCAACCTCTGGTTTTCCCCCATCTAGAGAAAACCACACCCCTATCCAACAGACAGGTCCACCCCCATTCGTTTTTAGTTCCTTCTTAACTTGGATCTCTTGCTCATTCACACATTAGTGCCCATTTGAAGGCACCCCAGGTTTCACTGCCCACAGATCAGATCTGGTTGGGTTCCCAGCTTTGCAGCACCAGAAGAGTTTAAACCGATATAAATGGAGGCGTTTATCCTTGCTTGCATTATCCTCCTGGAGTGTGTGCAGAGAGGGTTCTGTGAGTCAAGGACATTCCCAGCCACGCTTCTGTCCACACTTCAGTGACTAGACATGCCAATAAGTGGTCTGCAGGATACAGTAATGCTTCCTGAAGAGTTGAGGATTGGTATGTTTCTTAAAAGGGAAATTTGCCTCTTGGGTAACGCTGGGCTTTAGTCTAACAGAAAACAACATAGAAATCATTTCTTTATAAATTTAAAGGGTAAAGTGTATAAATTTAAAGTCTAAGTATAAAGTGACATTGTGAGTTCACCAGTTTTTTATATTCTTTGGAAAGCATCGTGATTAATCCTGCTCCCAGCCTCAGGCCAAGGCCACATCTCTCCATGCCTAGTAGGAACAGCCAAGATGGAGGGAGAAGCTAAATTGTGTCTTAGCTCTGGCAACAGATGGGTGTTTGGGTATACGAACGAGTCTGTAGGTGCATGGATCCCGGACTTGTGCACACACCCAAATAATTTCTTGGCTCTGAGAGCAGTTTATCCACCTGCTAAAGAAATTAAGCAGACCCGGGAGTGTCGTGGGACTGTACAGTTACCATAAGTCAGTCTACTGTCATACTCACTGCTGGAGAGGCTTTAAGACCACAGCTCTTGGATATATACTGGGATTTACCTGGAGTGCCCCTCCCATGATGGTACTAATCCCTGTTCAACATATCACTGTTGGCAATTTACAAAACCATCATGTATATTGACTTGTTGGAGGTTAACTCCCTGAGTTAAGCAGGGGAAGCTTTATCGATCCCGTTTTACAAATGAAACGGAGATTCAGAGTGGTTGAGTTACCCAAGAGCCCGTGGCTAATCATTTCCGGCTAGGACTTGGACCCAGCTGCCCTCATCCTCATTCCTAATCCAGGATTGGGAAACTCTTATGTGTTACTGCCTGCGTTTTAAAAATGCCACCACTTAGATGACACCTTCCCGAACCCCACCCTTATGTTGGTAATGTTTTACTTCCCCTGAATTTTGAGACTGGTCCCTTTTTTGCAGTCTTTTCCTCCACCCACACGTTTAATTTCCTCTGTGTTTCTTTTCTTGGTCTCAGTGAAATTATTGCCAGTGGACTGTGAGAGCAAAACAGATAAGGTGAGTCTGCGTTCCTCTAAGCTTTTGTTATTCCTCCCAAGGATGTTAGCCTCCGCCAGGAGGTAAGCTGGCCCCGAAAAAGATCATAATAGGCTCATTTTCAGGAGTGCTTCCTGTAATGTACCAGAATCACATCGTGTTCTGTGGTGTTTGTGTCAGACTCAATTGTGGCAGGCGAAGGAGTACTTGAAACAGAGAGAATTGAACTCCCAGGATCCAACCCTGGGCTTGTTATGGAAGCTCTCCCATCAATCACGGCTCTGGGGACTTTGATCTTCTGCCTGAGTCAATCTAGGGGGATGCAGAAGGTGGGGGCTGAAGGACTGCTCAAGCTCCCTGGCTTCCCCAGGAGGGGCTGACGGTTTTCAGCACCCGGAGGCTGGCTTCTCAGGTCCACATGCCCTCTGGTAGTGCGTCTGTGGCTGACGGGTGCCGTTCGGATTTGAAACATCATGGGATGGGGGGAGGTTGTTTTAAATATATCTGAAGTAGAATGAGCCCTCCCAGTCTATAGATTTGTTTTGTGAAGCTTTAATGTTCCCTACAAATAATATTTGGGGAAGGCGAGCAGCCCCATCCATTTATGACTCATGCCCATAGCATTAGCCGGGAGCTGGGATGCTGGCACAGGTGATAGTCTAGGGAAGATAGGAGGCAATAAATTTTCAGGTCATGAATCCTACCAGGAGGAACCTTTTGCTGCCAGAGGGCATGACTTAGTAGTCTAATTATTAAGTGTGCAGTGCCAGGCCTCTCTGGAGGCCTCAGTCTCCACGTCTAGCAGCCCAGCAGCTGGGAAAGAAACAACACAGGGTCACGTGTTCACTCTCTTACCCATGTCACCGAAGGGGTGGCCTGGGGCAGATAATAGGTTTCATCTCTTCTTTGGCTTCTGTTGTGTATTAAGGGTTGTTTTGTTACATTCATTTATTGCGTTCGTCCACCAAGTATCTTTTCCTCTCCGTTGTTTTGGGAAAACAGATTCGTCTTAAGTTTCAGCTGCCTCGTGTTGTACAAACCACAGTTGGCGATTACAGGAAGTGGCCCGGAAAAATAGGTAGTGGCCAGAGGGAACACTAGAATTCTGAACCCTGAATGCAAAAAATGGGCAACAAGTCTGTAAGATTTCTCTGGTTTCTATCTCTTGGTTCTCCACCCCAGTTGAGTGAGCCCCGACAGGCACAATCCGGGGCCTTGCTAAAAACGTGCCCGATGAGCAGGCTGGGGACTTAAAACCTCTGAGCGTCCGAGGGCAGGGTCTGGCATCGTCGGCAGGCGCCCCTGAGCTGAGATTTCACAGGATGCTCTTGGTCTTCGTGAAGGGCAGACACAGGAACAGGCAGGCTGGGAGGCGCTTCTTGGCTTTGGTGAGGCTCTTGCTGAAAGTTTCATTCTTTGTGCGACTCTCAGGCTCCCCCAGAACCCAGATGGGCACTGGAGTTATAGATATACATGTTCTTTCCCTTCTCAGCCAACGATGACACTTAGCGTTTTTCTTTCTGCCTTTGTGCTGCTGAAAACGTGTGGACAGGCTGGGAGTGGGTGTGCTGTCTCAGGCGGGCCGTCTCGTGGTCTGGTGCCTTCTGTCCTTCTGTTCCCTTTAGGTGGTGTGAGCCCTGCTTTGCCTAAATGTCGGTGAGTGTGGAACAGAGCTCGTTGTGACCGCGTTTGTTGTCCTTTTGTAGGGTTTTTTTTTCTTTCTGGTTGTGACAGTAAGAGATGTTTAGTGTAGAAAATTTGAAAAGTGTGACAAAATCAGCCATGAATCTGCCACCAAGAGATAATCAATCGCCTTTGACATTTTGGGGGCGTTTCCTTCCCCCTCTTACCTGTCTGCGTACGTATGTTTATAGAATTGGAATCTCCGTGTATATTCAGTTACATTTTCTATCATCAACATTTCCTATCTCATTCGTCTTTAAAAGGTAGTTTGGGTACCTGATTCTACTTACAGACTTGGGAGTTGTCTCAGAATGTTCATGGTCATACATGTATATCTTGGTATTGCCATTTTGTACCCTATAAGGGCTCTTGGGTCTTTAGGCAACATGAGGGTACATATCTTGGCCTCTGAGACTATGAGAAACCAAGTCCCGCACTTTGCAGATGAGGGCCGCAAGTGAGCCCAAGAAGGAAGGGGACTGTGGTTCCTCTGGCAGTTGTCATGCCAGGCCCCAAGCCCTGGCCCTCGGTGTCGGTCGGGTGCCCTGCCCAATGACACCCCAGAGGAGGTCTGCAGGGGGCGGCAGGCTTAGAGGGGACTGGCTGCAGCACTTGTTAGCTGTGGGATCTTGGGGTCCTAGCAAGTCTCTAAACCTCGAGCTCTTCATCTGAGAAATTGGGGTGCGGTCAGGATTGTGATGAGGAGTCAGTGCGGACTCTTGACAGCCCGTGGCCTGTCATTCACTCTCGAGGACAGCAGCCTTCCGTTTAAATATTCTCAAGCTAGCAGCCTAGCAAAATGGGTTCAGTTCAGTTGCGGGTACAGGAGAGCTAGGTGTGCCTGTATTCCTGTGCCCATGTCCTCATACGGGTGACTTTCGTCCCCCGTTTCAAGATGCCTAGAGATATCGCAGTTCCAGTCTAGAATCTGGATGTCTAGGATGAGGCCTTTGCTGCAGCTCATGTGCACAGCAGATGATTTATGGGCGGAACGAAGACACCTGGCTCTCCAAACACAGACGGGAATGGCCCAAGGAGGGACGAGACAGTGGTAGTGTGGCATTTGCCTGGCCCACTGCGGAGGCCCGACCACAACATCCCGCAACCTCATGGCCTTCATTCCGAGGAGAGTCACGGGACAGAGGCCGGGGGGTGCCTCTTAGACAGTGACCGGGGCTGCTTTTAGCTCTCCCTCAGCTTTTATGGTTAACCAGATACTTACCCATCCTTTGGAGAATATGGGTTTTGAGGGGTTCCGGGCTGCTCAGCCCTTGACAGTGCAGCCGAGGAGGTCTAGCCAGATAGACGGAGCCGGCCACCGCCCCTCTGTTGACTGCTTGTCCTGTGCTCTTCCAGTTCTGTCAGGCCAAGCAGAAGGCGGCCTTGCTGGAGCTGCTGCATGAGCTCTACAATTTTCTGGCCATCCAAGCCGGTGAGTGCCTCTCTCGGGGCCCCAGGGTGGTGGGCTCTCACCCTCAGCAGCTGAGCGGGGGTTGGCTGGCAGGCGGCTAAGATGCCAGATGTCTCCCGGAAGATATCCTGCAAAACCACGCCTTGCCTTCCCCACTTTTCCACTCAGTCACATCTCCTTTCAGCCTACAGTTGGTTCTCATATCCCCTGGAAGGGTCCCAGGGCTCCTGGCCCCAAGCCTTTCTGCTTTCTCTGGATGCCCGCTACCTGAGGTCTGGGGCATTCATGTTGCCTTGGAGGGGGTGTGGCAGGCCCCAGGTCTCCTCAGTGCAGGTCTTCTGACTTGGAGGGCCTCCCTGTACCAGGTGGCTGGCCAGGCCAGGAGGAGAGGCCTATGCAGGGGCCAGGGGTCGGCACAGTAGGCTAGTCACACTCAGGTCCATCCACTTGCCAGGGCCCCGGGGTCACTTCTGGTCCCATTTACTCCATGTGGCTGGAAGACCTTGGATAAGTCTCTTATCGTCTCAGAAACCATCTCCCTATCCCACCAAGTGGTCTTGGGTCCTTTTTTTCTTTTTTCTTTTTTTTTTTTAAACAAAATGAAAAGGAAGTCCTGTACTCTAGGAGAGGGCATTTTCAGCACCCCCATGAATACCCCCTAAAAAGTCATCTATCCGGAAGGCTCGCTTACTTTTTTATTTAGAAAATTGTTCTCTGAGGCCAGAGATAACCTGTCCCCACACCTCTCAGAATCACTTGCTAAAACCATAGGTAATGACCAAAACTTATGCCCCCAGTGGAATATATTTGGCACAAGAACCAGATGGAGCTATTCAGTCTTACGAGATGTTCCAGAGACACCTCTGACCTGTGGGGCCTTGTCTAAAGTTGTTGCTAGGGAATCGAGGCTAGATGGGCCTGTACTGGGCCCTCAGCCCTTGGGGCCAGTCTTATTGGCCCCAGCTCTGCCACCACCTCCCTCTTGAACGGCAGGAGACTGGTGATGGGCAGAGAGGAATCTGGGAGCTCCTCAGAGGAGCAGTAGGAGTGGGAGCTCACAGCACCATGGGCCTCAGGGGCCTTTCTCTGCGGCCCAAGTGCTTGGAATATAAATTCTGGCCCAAGAGGGTGTTGTAGACCTTTGTGACTCAGTTGTGGTTCGGGGACCAGTCAAATCATCCAGGAGGTTACTGGATGGAAATGCAGACTCTGAGGACCCATCCCAAACCTATGAATCAAAGTCTGCATTTTCAAAAGACCTCCAGGGTATAAAGTAGAGAAGCTCTGTCTTAAGCCGTGGATGCTGGTAGATATTTCTCCTTCCTGCCCTCCGACTGTGGTCCTGGCTTATGCTGTCAGGGGGCCTAGTGCCTCCTGTCCTCTGACAAGCCATCTGTCCTCTGACAAGTCAGGGGCAACCCTAGGGTCTCATTGCTGGGGAATGAGGGCTCTATCAGGCTCTACCCACCCCACCACCCCTGCAGATCACCTGTCGGCAGAGCCTTGTGCTGGCCTTTGCAGCTAACAGGCTGCTTCTGGTCTAGTAGAAGAGACATACCACCTACGTCCCTGACCACTGGCTGTTATGAGGCATGACTGGATGAGAACCAAGAGGCCAGAAGTTCCAGGAGGCGTTTTGCCTTTTAGTCAGAGCAGTCAGGAAAGCGGCACAGGGGAGGTGGTGTCTGTACCAGGCCCTGAAGCCCAAGGAAGGTTGATTCTATGTATGTGGGGGGCATGGCAGAGCCAGAGAGGCAGGAAATGACAGGGGCAGGGATGGAAGCAACTGGCCTCACGGGGGAAGGAGAAACAGAAGGGATGGAGTTTGGAAAGGTCAGCTGGGCCCAGTCGGCACCAGTCAGCAAGGCCACAGGTGCTTGATCCCTGTAGGCAGTGAACGCCAGGGAGGCCTTCAAGCAGGGGAGCGAGGTGCTGGGGGCCAGGAGCCAGGAATGCCAAGGCGACAGCAGCTCGGGTGTAGTAGTGCCATTTAAGCAGAATCATTTTAAACTTCTGTTGATAAGACGTGGATGGGAAAGGGGAGAGGAGGAAACCAATCAGGAGACCATGGCCATGATCCAGGCAGGCTTAAGTGGGGCAGGGTGATCAGGGCAGGGTAGGAGAAGCCAACTTGATCTCAGGGTCCCCTAAGGTCAAGATCAACTTCGGCATTAGAGGGATAAGCTGTAGTTCATTCTCAAGATTTTTGAGAATCCTCAGCCACTCCCTCCCCAGCACACAGACTGCCCCTCCATGGCCCCTAGGCAGCACCAGGTTAAGAGTTTGTGGCTTCAGGGTCTTGTGCGGGTACACCCTGTGCTGTCCCTGCTCTCAAGGAGCCTGGTGAACCACGGGAAGCAGCACGTGGTGGGTGGGCCATAGTGGGCTGTCGAGAGCCAATGGCTGTGGCGGGCCCCCAAGTCCAGAGTAATTTGGTTCAATAGGATTCCCCTACAGGCCAGAGATTTTTTCCAAGGAGATGTCCCTGGGTGGGCTTCCTCCTAGGTGGGAGCTGGTCATCCAGGGTGCTCAGATGGGAACAGTACCGTGGGGCTCCACACTGAGGCCCCACTGCCCAGCACAGAGACGCCCTTTTTCTCTGTGGGGCATTTGGACATACATCCCCAGAACCCCTCAACCAGGTCACTTGCCTGTATCACGGTCAGAATCCCTGCAGTGCCTACGGCTTCCCTGCCTTTCTTTTCTCCCGGGTAGCGTTTATTTATAGTGCCATTCTGGTACCTTCCAAAGCTATCTGTCTGATCCTTTTAGGGATCAGTTGCAAACAGACCTTAGGATTGGGCAGCTTTTTAGTCATTTAATGCAAATCACTGCACTGCTTTGCAGGTCAGGTTTTAATGATCTGGAATCGATCCAAGCTAAGTGGCTTTTGATCTTGCTGCGGAGTGAAGATGCCCCACGGAAGCTGGAGTCGCGGGGCCACATGCTCCTCATCAGAGCTGATGGCTTGATTCTCACTGCAGTTTTTTTTAGGCCGTTTCCGAGTAATTTTTTTTCCACCTCTTCTTTGTGTTTGAATGTGTGTTTTTTCCTCCTAGGTAATTTTGAATGTGGAAATCCAGAGAAGCTAAAAAGCAAATGCATTCCTGTAATGGAAGCCCAGGAGTACCTAGCAGTAAGTAGGCTGCGGTGCTTACCCATTCCCGAGAGGTCCTGGTGCTTTTGTACTGATCTTGCAAGCCCTGCTTTTTTTTTCCCTTTTCATTTTGTGTTTGCTTTTTGGCTTTTTTGTTTTCCCTTTTTTTTTTTTTTTCTTAAAAGTTAGTTCTGAGTGTTAGGCTACTTTCAGTTTAGGCAGCAGCAGGGGTGGCTGGTCCAAGGTGGGCTATGAGCCGGAGCCCGGCCTGCTGCCTCTTTTTCCAGGGGCCCTGTTACTTGCTCCCCACTTTTCTCTCCTTCCCAGCAGCTTTACGGAGCTGCACTCTGTCTGTCCGCTCTTTCCTTTATGTTTGCTGTGTAGTTTGCTCAGGGTCTGTTGGACTGTTGGCCTGGCCCCAGTTTGATAGAATTCTGGAACTTGGGAGCCAGCAGAAACTTTAGGGGTCACCTAGCTCCTTGTCATTTCCCAGATGAGGAAACTGAGGCCCAGAGAGGGGAAGGGACTGGCCACTGGCCTCCCACCCTGCCCCGCCCCCACCCCCCTTCCCCTTTTTTTCATTTTCCCCAAGATGATCTGCCAATTCTCTGGCCTCATGCTTTGGTCCTTGAGAAGATGCTGTGGTCTTGGCTACCTCAGGCCTGCATTACTTTCTTGTGTGCTTCTGCATCGACTCCTTCCAGTAGAGCTCTTTCTTGGCTCTCATCGGCCCAGATTTCCACCTGCCACTTTATTGTGCATTTAGCAGAACGGGGCTTTGGGGCCTGCAGAGGACATGGGAGAAGGCCTCCTTAATCCAGCAGGAGAATAATGTTCCAGCTGGTCCGCCCAGACGCAGCACTAATCTCCCGTCCCCTCCCACAGAATGTGACTGGCAACTCCTCCGCCAAGTTTGAAGCCGCACTGACCTGGATACTGAGCAGTAACAAGGACGTGGGCATCTGGTGAGTGTGGGAGGGACCTCACAGGGTGGCAACACTGCCATGGGCCCCTGTGGCCATGGTCCTTACCCATTGGCGGGCTGCTGAGCGCTCACAGATGTGTGTCAGGGCGGAAGTTGGAGGCAGGTCTCCCTGCTGAGTCCTTGTGGGCTAAGCCTGCAGCCAGGCAATGGAAAGAGGAAGCATTCAGGGCCCCGGGGCAGCGGGGTTGGGGGGGGGCAGGGGCAGGCAGCATAAGGAGACGTTTCAAGATAAGACACAAAATCCAGGTGTTGGGACGTGAGCCAAGTGTTCTAGCTAAGCGTTTCAAGTAACTCACCCTGCGCCGCTTGTATTTACCGGTCCCACGGGGTTGCTGGAGAAGGCATTTTTCTGCACTTCCTTTTGTCCGCTGCTAGTTTTCCTTCCTAGATGAAACATTTCTGTCTGTTGGTTTTTACTCAGCATGGACATTGCAAAAGGAAATACTGAATTTTATTCTGACTGGGCAGTTCGACCTCATTTCTGTCTCTGGGGAGCTCTGTTAGCAGAGATGGTGAGCCCCCTCTTCCTCCTGAGAAGCCCCAGCTGGCTGTTCAGCCTGTGGGGGAGGGGCGCACCAGCCACACTGCCCCTATCCGGCTTCCTCTTGCTTCCCAGGGTTTGTGGGAGTCTCTGTTCAGGCCACAGCTCCTGATATTCAAATACACTCTAGGGTTTTGTTCCCTTCCGCTCTAACCCACCCAGACTACTAATTCCATCGGCCTCGCCTCCACCAGAAGCCCCTTGGGCAGCTCAACCTAAAGTTTGCTCACTGGATGCAGGGCACGATTAAAATTCGTTGGCTTAAAAAAAAAATAAAGCTTCCCTGAGTGGCTGAGCGATTTTCCTGTGTGTTAGGAACAGGGGAGGAGAGAATATGGATTTTATCCTCCACAGCACTCACCAAAGCCGCCAGCACAGAAGAATGATGGCACTTGCCCTTTCACATTGGGGGTAGGCCGTTGGGAGGGTTGCCGAGCCCAGCTCAGACAACCGGTGCTCAGAGTGGGTCGTGAGATACTGGGCCGCTTCAGAGACTGGGCATTCCCTTGTGCGGTCTAGAGCACGGGATGGGCACCTAGCCGGAAGAAGGTGCAGGTGTGGGCATCCTCACACGTCCCGACACCACCTCTCAGGGGCCAGGCTGGAGGTGCTGGGGCCGGGGCCTGGCCTCGGAAAGCCTGTTGCTTGTCCTTCCCTGAGCCTCACAGCACCCCGATCTTTACTCTTAAACAGCCTACGTGCCTCCTTGTCCCCGTCACCGAGGAAAAGCACACCCTCCCAGACTCTCAGTTCCTGCCATGCAGTGCAAAGCCAGAGATTCAGTAAACATTTCCATTTCTCTGTGCTGGGAGGTGGGAATCCAATTTACAGTTTAATCTTCCACATGCTGAGAGGGGCTGTCAAAAGACCCGACAGAGGGGGACTTCACTTTAGCAGTAGGGGTTCAAGCCTGCTGCCGTCTTTAAAGCTTTATTCTTTCTAAGTAGCCAACTTGGGAAATTTCTGGAAAGCATACAACCAGGATACTAAGTCAATTTTATAAGCAAGTAGAGGCCTCGAAGCTCCTCCTTTCTTCTCTTTCTGCTCTAAAGTGGGGCTGATCCCATGGCTCTTGGGAGCTTGGGAACGGCTTTGCAGCCCCATGTCCTGTTTCAGGTTGAAGGGGGAAGACCCATCTGAGTTGGTGACGACTGTGGACAAAGTGGTCTGCCTGGAGTCCGCCCGCCCCCGAATGGGTGTGGGCTGCCGCCTGAGCCGCGCCCTGTTCACCGCGGTCACCAACGTGCTCATCTTCTTCTGGTGTAAGTCCTCAGCTGCCCTTCTTCCCCTACCCCAGCCCATCCTTGCTGTGGGGACTGCTCACAGCACCTCCCCGGAACCCAGCTCAGGGACGCTCCCAGGCATGAGTAATGAGTTCTAAAAACCCAAGCCCTGAGAGTTCATTTCTATCTAGTGAACCTGAGGTCTGTGTAATAAAACAGAGGAGATGAACAAGTCAGCCTCTGCCGTAGGTAATCTTTAGAGATTGGTGGCAGGAGCATGAGGGTAACTGGAAAATATCCTTGATCAGGGTCAGGATGATCAGTGTCCCCGGGGTCGGGGTGGTGGGGGGAAGCCTGGCCCCGAGCGGGAGCCCAGCATCATCTCCCCCAAGCCCCTGGGGCCCCAGAGGGCTAGCCTCTCAGAGGAGGAGAAGGCGCAGCAGGACCTTGGCCTAATTTTATTCCCTGAACAATGTAAACATCTCCTTGGGAGCTCTAGGTACCCGATGAAAGCGGGAAGGGCCCAGGGGGCTGAGCTACAAAGCCAAACGCAGGTCCTGTTGCCTGACATCAGGGGCTGCCTTTGAGCAGAGACCTCGGGGCGTCTCTGAAGGCCAAAGGCCGAGTTACAGGACCTGCCACTCGGCAGAGCTGACAGAGTTACAAGTCACAGGCCATCTGGGCGTGCACACGGCTCCCTGCCCAAGGCCACTGGGTGCAGACATCATTATCTGCAGCAGCGTCTCCGAATACAAAGGGCCCCGCATGTATATATGTATGAAATGCCGTGTTCTGGTTCACAAGGGAGGAGATGAAAGGCCCGGAATGAGGTTGGGAGGAGCCGCAATCTGGGCAGCTGGGGAGGCCTCTGTGGTGACAGCCGGCGGGAGGAGCATGATCACTTCATAGCCTGCCTACCCCCTGCCCCTCCACGGCCCGCATCTGCTGCGGGCCGGCCTGGGCCTGACACACTGCAGGCAGGCAGGCAGAACCCTGGTGCTGCTCCCTCACCGCCACCGGCATGGCAGCCGGCCCACCCTGAGACCCAGCCAATGGCCCAGCCGCCCAGAGGGATGTGACGGAGTCATGGGGCCCATGTTCCCTCATAGGTTTGGCCTTCCTATGGGGGCTCCTGATCCTCCTGAAATACCGGTGGCGGAAGCTGGAAGAAGAGGAACAAGCCATGTATGAGATGGTGAAGAAGATTATAGGTGCGTGGCCCCCAGGGAGAGGACTCCTGGCACCTGCCAGAAGGTCCTTGCCCTCAGTCCTGCCCTCTGTCCTGCCCTGCAGACGTGGTCCAGGACCATTACGTGGACTGGGAACAGGACATGGAGCGCTACCCATATGTGGGCATCCTGCACGTGCGCGACACCCTCATCCCTCCACAGAGCCGGTGAGTGCCACGGGAGGAGGCCCAGAGCGTCAATTATTGGGGGCGGCAGTGCAGCCCCAAGGGGCACCGGGGAGGGGGCTGCGCCCGCCTCTGGCCACTGCTCAAGCGCAGCTCTGAAAGAAGCTTCTGGAAGAAATAAGCCCCTGTGAGCGTCTGTACTGACTCTGGGTGGCTAACTCGGGGTGGCTGGCACCCTCCTCTCTGCGGTGGCTCAGGCTGGATTTCTGCGAGCGGAGGTCCAGAGTCCTGTGGCACAGAAGAGTCCGGTCTCTAGTTCCGTTTCTCTGCGATGCTTATGGTCCCCGCCTCCGCAGATGCTGTGAGCTGGTGTAGAGATCCCCCTGGCCACAAGATGGTAGCCTGCCGCAGTGGGGAGCAGCATCTCCCTTGTCACGGCAGCAGGGGAGAGACGGGTCACTCTCACAGGCAGAAGACATTCTCAGAAGCTGCCAGTGACACGCTCCTTGAGGCCCTGCTGGCCGGAACCGGTGACTTGTATATTCTTGAATCAGTCACTAGCCAGGAGGAGATTGTTTTGCAAACATTTTGAACCATGACCCGTTACTTAAAATACCGTGGCGCGCTTCCCACAGACGCGTGCACACGTACATGTGCATGCCTGTAGCGGAGAGCAGGGTTCCGCAGTGGTGGCTGGTGTCAGTTTCCAGGGTGCACAGCTACACGGGAAAGGGGAGCAAGCCACGGTCACGCCTGGGCCGCAGATGCTGGATGGAGCCTGACAAAACCCAGCGGGGGTAGCTTTGGAGGATGAGGTCCCAGCGCCTGCCACGACATTAGCCCAGACTGTGGGCCCTCCTCAGAGTTTGCTGTGGTGTCGGACCGGACGCCATCCCCTCAGGGGGTGCCGAGCCCTCACTGGCTGAGCGCTCACTGGGAGCAAGCACTGCCCTGGGCCCTCCAGAGACACCGCCCTGCTCACTCAGTCCTTGCTGCAGCCATGGGAGGTGACGGCAGTGAGTGTCCCATCTTACAGAGGAGGGAACTGAGGCACCCGGAGTCTAAGAACTTGCTCAAGGTCCACTGCTGGTGGTGTTTCTGTGCAACCCAAGAGGAATTGATAGAGTAAAACATTGAAGACCCCTTTTAAAGGTGAAGATGCTTAAGAACTTTCAGGCCCCGCCTCCTCCTTGGGAAGGTGCAGGCAGGAGCTGAGCGGGGGCAGCTGGATCCCGGCAGTGGCCAGTGCTTGCTGTTGGTGTGAGCACAAGGTAGGCACATGGCCCTCTGGGGCGATGTCACTCGGTGCCTTCATGCTGCCACCACAAATTTCTGGCTTGCCCAGAGTCGTCATGTGGCCATGGGTAGTGGCCCCTTCGAGCCTGCTTCCTCGTCCGAAACGGAGATGACAACACTGCCTTGCAAAGGGCTACATGGAAGCCCCTTATTTACTCAACAACTGTTTACTGAGCTCCTCCTGCAGGTCACACACCCCTGGGTCACCGGGAGGCGGTGGGAAGAGGAAGAAGCCCAAGTCCCTGGCCTTGCTTCCCGGGGGGGAATAAGGAAACTGCTGTGGGGTAGCGATGGGTCCTCAGGAAGTGGGGAGCGGGGGTGTCAGGAGAGGGCCTCACAGCTCATTAAGTCAGCGCCTAGTGAGAGCGCTCCTCCAAGGGCAGCCCTGACGCTCTCGGGCTTCCTTCCGTTAGGTGGGGCCTGCACACCAGCGGCAGTAAGAACAAGAGCACCACCGCTGCTCGTCTTGGGCCTGAGGGCCCAGCCTCCATGCAGAGACTGCAGGTGCAATGGCGGTCCATGGGGACTGAGCCTGGCAGTGAACCCCAGGAGACTCACCCACTGTTGGCTCTCAGCCCCTCGATTTATCTCCCAGGGCCCCTGATTTGTGTAGCCATGCCCTCACTGCCGTCACAGCCAAGCCCTCCACTGTCCTCGGCCCTGCGCAGGTCTGCCCTGCAGAGGAGCGCCTGCCCTTGGGGCCGAAGGAGGGCTGGGGAGCCTGGCTGGCGAGGAAGGCAGGGGAGCTGAGAGCAGCTGGCTAGCAGGGCGTTGATCAGTACCTGTTCGTGGGCAGCCTGAGAAGGAGGGCTGGTGTGAGACCAGCCAAGTGGGGACTGCTGAACTGTCTGAGGAGTCATTGGTGGCAGGACTGACCCCCGAGGTAGAAAGCCCTGGCACCCTCATTCTAACTCCTGACCCACAGGCCCCCTCGGGCTCCTTTGTCCGCCCCCAGGCTGAACCTCTCCTTCTCCCACACGGACGTACCCCCAGCCCCTCTCCACGCGAGGGGGCACAAGGAGGTAGTGTGCAGAGCTGACAAAACACAGGGACTCCTCAAAGAGAAGATGTCAAAGCAACCCTCCCTGACCGCCTTGGAAACTTCCTGTCTAGCCTGGAGGGGAAAGAGTTTATAGGGGGCTGTCCAAGGGATTGCAAGGCCCCGGGGAGCCAACAGAGAAGGGGCCCTGCCTGGTAGCTCTGGTTCCAGGAGTAGCTCCGGCTTTTTGGCCTCCCCAGTTAGATGCTGAGCTCATTCCCATGCTCCAAAGTACTGTGGAGTTTGGGCTCAGCAGCCCAGTGGCCACTCTTTAATTGGCCCACATGGGGCATTAAAATGCAGCCAGCACTGGTGGGGGGCCGCCTGGCTGGGGCTGCTGCAGGAACAGGCCCCAGCAAGAGCTGGCCAAGGCCGGCACAGCCCCTTCCCACTCGGACACCTGGGGGTACTCTGGCCACCTCTGGCTCCGTTCAGCTCCCTTTAATTGAATGCTTTTAGAGCAGAGAAGGTTGAGGAATCATTTCTCTGTGGCTCAAGAAATTTCTGTCCTCTGCAGGAGTTCTGTTAGTACCTGACGCCTTTTCCTCCCACAGATAAATTCCACCCGGGCTCCTGGATTTTTGGCCCTGGTTTGTACAAAGGGTTTACACAGGCCCACTCACTTCTCTGATCAGTGCCAGACGGAGCTCTCGGGGTGCTGCTGGCCTGCTGAGCCTGGCTCCTCTCTTTGCAGGAGGCGCATGAAGCGGGTCTGGGACCGGGCTGTGGAGTTCCTGGCGTCCAATGAATCCCGGATCCAGACAGAGTCCCACCGCGTGGCTGGAGAAGATATGCTGGTGTGGAGATGGACTAAGCCCTCTTCCTTCTCCGACTCCGAGCGATAAATCCCGGGCGGGGAGGGGGCCCTGTTCCCAGTCGGCCTGTCCCAGGCCAGTCCCCTCCAGGGGCGCGAGAAGGCCACCAGACCTGCCAGTGCTGAATTCACACTTGCCTTGACTTTCACCCTCCTCCCGACTCTGGTTCCAAAGGTCTGTCTATAAGACTCTTCAGAGATCAGCTTGTAGGAAAGCATGGGCTTCCTTGAAGGGCAGCGGTGGGGAAGAGCCAGAGGCCAAGTGCCTAGCTTGTCCTCTGTGTTGGTCCGATCCTCTCTGCCCTGATTGCTGGCAGAAAAAGGGAGAAGAACCCTTCTTCCCTGTTTTTGATGCAGGGAAAAGATGAAAGAGCAGCCCTGAGACCCTGCAGAGCAAGTGTGCAGTTAGGTGGGCTACAGCTCTCCCACCGCTGGGGAACACTCTGGACATCGTGCCTGTGGGAGGCGGGTCGGGACGGCAGGCTGGGGCGGCAGGGGTTGGGGAGCAGTTGGGTCCATGTGCCTTCAGAGGGTGTTACCTGGGAGCTCAAGGGTGAGGGGAGAAAGCCTGTCCTCTAGCTGGGTGGGGCCTGTTTTATCCCGAAGGGGTAAGGTGCTAGAAAGTAGAACATGTACTGTAGAAGAACTCTCTAGAAATGCCAGGTCCTGGCACACGGAACCCTCAGGTCAGGAGGAGTGAGCTGCCAGGGTGGCCTCCTGAGAGGACCTGGAGCAGGCACAGGGGCCTGAGAGCAGACAGGAGGGTAGGACTGCCTGCCGCCACCATCTCTGGCCGCCGGAGGCAGCCTCCCAGGACCGGGCCTCTGGGACTCTTGAGCGGTGCTTCTCACGGAGTGTTGGTTCCAGACCAGCCCCGCAGCCACGGCACTGTGTGGGGCCACGATGCGCATTCCGGGACTTTGGGAGTGCCGCGCCTCCGGTGTGCGACGGTCACCTTGTCTTAGGGCGACCGCAGCCACCCCACGGGGAGGCAGCGGAGCCAGAACTTGGAGGCACCGACCCCGGGGGCGCGGGGCGCAGCGGCCGCACAGCTGCCCCCTGCTGGCCGCCGGGGGTCGTGCGTGCGCCGCTGCAGACCTTCGTCACGGCCCCCCCACCACAGCCCGCCAGCCCGCAGCGCGGAGCCCGGCTCCAGAACCGCCCTGGCGGGGGGCCTTATTAAGTACGGGGAGCCTCTCCGGCAGAGCCACGTTCCCATATGTTCTCAGCCGCAGCAGGCGGGAGAGGGGCAAGCGGGCCGAAACAGCTGCCTCCAGAAGGCATCAACCACCCCCTTTAAGTCTTTCTGGTATTTTTTGTTTCTCTAATAAAGCTCCAGTCTCCCTCATTTGAGCAATACTCTCTCATTTCCTCTGATATCTGGATGATCGGCGGGGCTGGAATCTGAGTGCCAGCCCCGTGGCAAAGAAACGGTCGTAATCAGGCTCCAGCCAGAAAAATAACCCTGCAACAGGCTTCAATATCAGGGTTGAAACTATTGGATAAATAAACTATTTATTAAAAATGGATGTGTTTCTCGTCCATGGTTCTCCCCCTTTCTCCCCCTAGAGTGACGTTGTAAAGGATGGCAGCTTGCCGAGAGGTCAGCAGAAGAGGAGGGTGGGGCGGGCTGACCAGGGGCCCTGAGCCTTCTCCCAGGGCTGGCTGACCTCACCCCGCTGTGGGCCCCAGCCTTTCCACCAACAGGCTCTCAGGCAAGCCCCCAAACCTTCCAGAGCCTCAGTTTCCCCATTATCACTCTGCGTGGCTTCCATACTCGGCGGGGTGGGTTCAAAACATGCCCACCTGGTCCCAGTGAGTGTGAGCAAGGGGCAGGGGTCAGTAGAACCTTTCATCCTCGGCCCCATTTCTGCCTCCCCGCAGGGCCCCAGACGCTCCTGGGGGGTGCTCAGCCCCTTTCAGCCCTGGGAGGGGGAGGAAGGAAGAGCAGAGTGAGGCTGGATGGGGCTTCTTGTCTGCTGACAGTGTCCTCTGAGGAGGCAGAGATGAATGTCTGCCACAGACCAGTGTCTGGGCCCCCATTGCTCTGGAAGCCCCGGGGGCAGTCTGGGAGGGAGGGCGCAGGGCCTATGGGGGTCTGCAGCGCAAGGGTTCACGGAGCTTCCGGGGTCCCATCGCCCTCCGCCAGAACAGTCCCTACCCAGAGGGCAGGGTGGGGTGTGGGGAAGAGCTGCAGGAATAGGGGTTGGCATCCTTCTCTGCCGGCCCTGCTGCACCCTCCACACCGTCCCACTTCTGGGTGGTGGCTGGTGCGGGAGCACTATCTGCGGGAAATTCGGTGGAGAAACTGACCGTCAAAGCACCCAGAAACACAACCCAGACAGAAACAAGCCCACCTTTCCCGTTTCTGTTTTTCAGGGAAAGATTTTTTTTCCCTCTGCCCTGTTTCGTCTTAAGTTGAGAAGGAAGTTAATGCACGGCTCTATTTCTGTGAGGTTGTTTGGAGAGCGGCAGCGAGATCAAAATAAGCCAGATAACAAAAGGCCCCCGCCAGTCGGCCCCTGGCTTTCTGGAGCACTGCGCGCAGGCACAAAGGCCCGGAGGTGCGTCCTCTGCCGCTCAGCCTCAGATCTGGCCCTGCAGCCCTCCTCTGCTTTGAAGGGCCAAGCATCTCTTTCAAGCAGCTCTTACTGCACAAGGGACAGGGCAGGGTGGAGGGATTTGCCTGAGGATGGGGTCCAGGGGTCTCTTTTTTAGTGGGAGCCATTGCTGAGAAGCTTCCCTGGCTCTGCCTAGTCCCTTCCAAGCCTCCCCAGGCCTCAGACCTGTCTTTCCTCAGTGACAAACAGCCCCTTGGGCTTGGTGGCACGGATAAAGAAGCTTGTGGGTGGTGAAGGAGGGAGAGGCTGTACCCCACAAATCTCGGCCGTGGACATCCACCCAGGAGCTCCAGGCCATCTTCCGGAGCCTCCGCTCAGAAGAAAGGTAAACATGGCCATTTGTCACTGACTTATCATAAGAACTGCGGTAGCAGCTGTTCCCCTTAATTAATACACCATTGACTTTGAGTCTCTCTCTCTCTCTCTCTCTCTCCCTCTCACACACACACACACACACACACACACACACACAAATCCCTGCGTTGAGGCAGGCCTATGGACTTCAAATCCATTATCCTGTTGGCCTCCACCAAAGGGAAGGGGCAGGGGAGTGGTCAGACAGTAACTCAGCTCCAAACAGGCCTCCTGGGGCAGTCAGGCCAGCTTCTCCACCCTGTCCCCAGAGAAAGCTCTAGAAACAAGGAGAGAATCTGGAGAGAGGGGCTCGTGGTGCACCAGGGAAAAGAGACAGAGGGGATGAGTGGGGGAGGGGGGGAGCATGCCACCTGGGGCTTGAACAGTGGGGGGCAGGCTGGCACTCAGCATCCTCAGGACCGGCTCTGTCCCTTATTGGCTGGGACCTCAGGCAGATCAAGCACTCTATCCCTGTACCAAGGGACGTCATTGAGAAAGAAATGGTAAAATTAGCCAATACATGAGATGCTCCTAGTGAGCCATAGCCCACCGTGGGGCCACGACACCCCACACGGTAGTTGCTATTATTATCCCCTTTATGGGGTCTGGGGGAAACTGAGGCACGGGTTGGACGGGCAAGTAGCAGAGCTGCAGTTTGAATCCAGGCACACCAGCCCAGAGCCTGTGTCCTCAGCCCTGCTCTCTTCCCTTCTCCAAAGAAAACAATGGGAGCCACTCACAATTTTTTGAGCTGTGCTGGGTTTGCCAGAAGAGTAAAACTATGCCAGGACCTCAGAAAGGCTCTGAGAGGCTCCTCCGACGTACCCACATGCCCGCCCCCATTATGCTTTCTGGCCACACAGCTTGCTGCCCTCGCCCTGCCTGGGGGCCCACGGCTGCCACCAAGCCTCCACATTTGCTGTTCCACCCAGTCTGCTCTTCCTCCAGGGCGCCAGGCGGCTCTCTCCTCCTCTCCTGGAGTGGGGGCTTGGAGCAGATGGGCCAAGATTTCTAAAGGAAGTGACAGGATGTTTTCTCCTGCCAAGAGTTGGGGCATCCAGGGCTGAGGCCTCCCAGGACCTCAAGGGCGAACCCCTCAACCCGGCAGCAGCAGTGTGCCGAGACTGCTGGCTACCATGGAGGGACTGCCTCCTGCAGGTACCAGGCTGCAGGTGGGGACAATCCAGAGCAGGGGCTTGGGAGCAGAGGACCTGAACAAGGTCTGAGAAGCAAGGGGAACAGAGGTATCGCTGGTGATTACAGCCCAATTTCTGAGCCACTTCTGTTTAGGAAGGAGACAGGGAAAGTACAGCAATTTTCTTCAATGAAAACAGGCAACAGAATTCCCTTTGCCTCCTTCCCCTTGCAATTAAGCCCTTCTCTGCAAATGAAATGATTTGGTTTTCATGGGGACTAATTTAAGCACACTGGAAGGGCCGCTGAACTTTCTGATTGCAAACACCAGCATGTGCAAAACAGACTCCCCAGCAGTGGCAGGCTGGCGAGGTGGGCCTCACCACCAGCCTGGGCTTCAAGCGGTAAGGTGGGCTAAGCCCTGGGGTGTGAGTCCAGCTCCACCCCTGCATCGGTGACACTCTCTGCGTGGCTGCCGCCATTGCCTTCTCCAGCCCCCATATCACAGGTGAGGGAGCTGGACTGGAGCCCGAGTGGTGGGGGGGGTGATTGAGAAGCCTCTGACCCAGCTGGTGATGGCAATGAACTGAACACACCGCCCCTCCCATCATCAAGAGGGGGCATCTACCTCTTCTTGAATCCAGGTGGGGTCTGCGACTGCTTTAAGAGAAGGGAGATGGTTAGGGGGACACTGGCCAGGGCCAGCCCGAGGCCTGACCACTTCCGCTTTCATCCCTGAGGCCCAGAGCCACCACATAAAGTGGCTCAGCTGTCCTGCTGGACAGAGCTTGTGGGGGACAGATGCCCGCCTGCCCCCAGCTCTTTCAGCGTCCCCGGCTGGCACCCTGGATGCGTAAGTGTGTCCCACGGGAGCAGGGATAAGCTGTTCCCACCCAGCACTGCCCACGTGGCAGAGTCATGAATGCATACATGGTTGCTGTGTTAAGCCACTAAGTCCATATTATTACCATTATAACTTTTTAATTTGAAATAGTTGAAGATCCACAAGAAGATGCAAAAAGAGTACAGAGACTTCTCGGGTACCCTTCACCCAGCTTCCCCCAGTGATAATGTCCCACATAATTGCGCCCGATTGTCAAAACCAGGACGTTGACCTTGATCCCATACTACTAACTCATGCACAGACCTGATTTAGGCACTTCGTGTGTGCGTGTGTGTGTGTGTAGTTTATGAAATTTTGTCACACAGAACCAC